ATTTTCCAAGGTCTGGAAAATGTTTGGAAGATGCACTCAAATCCTGCCATTTTCCTGACCATTTTCCACTCTGGAAAATTTAGACCAGTCTGCAGTGCAGGTGGTCAGATAAGAATGAAACAATACATGGTAAAACTCTAAGACAAATGTTGAGCCAATAAAACATGATAATCTGACAGATATGAGTCTGAGACACTTTACTTGGTACTGTAAGTCATAAGATAAGGTTGGGATTTGCTGGTGACGATGAATGGTATTAAACTTGGGCTTGGTGATTATTCAGAGTAGTGGTTAGTGAAGTTGTTGGAACCAATGAAGAACATGTCAGAGTGTGACACAGGGTAGGGCATAACACTTAGACCTCAGCTCTAAGCCTCAGGGTAAGGAAGTTCTATCTCAATGTCCTGATTTGTTCATTCAACCAAAGAAGATGAATAATATGAACAAATATCTGTTTGGGAGATTGTTCAATTTGACATTGCAATGAAAAATTGAAGGAATGAACAAGCTGAAGTTAGGCTTTTGAGCAGCTTTCTCAACTATTATGTCAGTATTAATCAATAAGCCTTAGCACCACCAAATCAACATGAACAATACAGCCAGACTAAGGGCCAGGTGGGGACCCAAAAATACAATAATTAAAATCCCCCCAATTTGAGTTTTTGCACCCTGGATGTTTATTTGTCAGCAGATTGGTAAGCATTTGTCAGCATTTGTCAGCAAATGTTGCCTACCTGATGCTAAAGCTCGGCCCTAATTTTGAAAACTACTGAGAAAAGTTCGAAAAAATTCGAAGTTTTTTTTTGGTTTAGAATATTATTTTAGGAGTAATTAATTAGCCTCATAGGGAAAGTAATTGGAAGTGCAGAACAGAGAACAGGATAACAGAGAAGGTCAGAAAGAATATAAACGGAGCTGAACGGAAGTGTGGAATAAGAACGATAAGAAACAATACGTGAAATAATGAATACCGGAACCGGGTGGAATTGTGGATGTGTTAAGAATGGTACAATTCCTAACACTACCAACCCATTGATGTACTCCACCAGATGTCCAGGGTACTCACTGTCTCCATCCTGTGCTCTGCTCTCTGCTCACAACAACTGTGTGTGTCGAAGATGTTGAATACAACTCAGAGGTCCAAATGGTATCCTCTTCAGACACTTTGAACAGGGAACTGTAGTATTTAAAAAGGGGAGTGAGATGTTCACTGGAGGTTCTGAAGGGTGAAAATATTGGTCTCCTGACAGCATTCTCATGGAGTACATCAGCAGCCAGGGTAAAAATTCTTTTTCCATCCAATGAATCTGTATCAAAGAATATTATATACCATGAAGTATTATAATTAAAATAGCAGACCCATGTTGTATTTGACATTGCTCACCCCTATCTCTGCATTTGTCAAAGAAGGACAGCACAGCACATCTGTTCCAAAGCAGTAGGAGTAATATATTTAACATTGAAGCAAGTGCTCTACATAATGCTTTTAGAAAAAAGCAGCAGCCAAGGTACAACCCGGGTTTGCGAAGTGGACCCGAGGTTGTATCTTGGCATTTGCTCATCCCTATCTTAAGTTCGAGCTTTGCTGTTCCAAAGTAGTAGGAGTAATATATTTAACATTGAAGCAAGCCCTCGACTCCTCTTAGAACAAGCCAATGCAGACCCAGGTTGTATCTTTAAAAAATCCAGCTTTAACTTAACTTTTAGGCTCCTCTTAGAACAAAGTAAAAAAAAGAGCCACAAAACCCCAGGTCCGCGTCTATATATTAACGCAAAACCGCGATTTGCTGATATAATATTTTACATAAGCAAGGTTCCCACGCATCGTCTAAAATAGCCCCTACAAGCGGTAAAGCACATAGACACAAGGACGAGCGCAGCTCGCCCTGTTTGTGGAGCAAACACGAGCTTGCTCGTCCATCTGCAGCAATTGTGGTGTCATTATGTCTAGGCTTTGGCGGTTCACCATGGTTTGGAAGAGGCAGCGGTGGAGATAGATACTCATGAAAACTTCTCAGCCTTAGGTATGTACCTCACGACTGCCAACAATCATTTGCGAGCTAATCATATGGCGATTCAGCTGGCTTAAGACACCATCACAATGAGGGGTTAAGGATGATGGAGGAATACAACATGACAATACAGTGATGGATTTTGGGGTATGTTTATTTCTTCTGAATGTTTGTGGAGCTGCTCTAAACAACCCCCTTCTGTGAACAGATGCATGCTATACTAATAGTTACTTGGCTTCGAAACCTTCACTCTATTCTCCTTTCTTTCAAATTCTCCCATGCTCCGTATGCTAACCACCGCAATTACTAATAACTAGAACTAATCCATGTATTTAAATACGCAATATATATCTTGATTTTTTGGCTAAAGTACTGCATCATTATGCATGATAATTACTGTATTTAATGAATAAGAATAACCAATAAAAATGGTACTACACATGCCTACTGAGACTATAGGCTCTATAGTTCACTGCATAGACGTCTGTAGTACCAGCAGCCACTATGCTAGCACAAAATGATATGACCTCTATGGAAGCTATGGAGACTACCATAGTGTACATAAATTACAGAGGCTACGGTGTCTACGGACACTATATAGACTATATAGCAGCTGCCAACTTTCCTGATGCGTGGCGTAGTGAATACCTTTCCGAAGGATGTTATGCATCAAGAGCTGGCTAACCCGACGACGATACTTATCCGCCCAATGCTTTGTGTATGAAGGTAATTTCATATTTGGAAAAATGTCGATTGAATGCCTTGACACTCGACCACAAAAAATACAAATACCCATTGCCTTATCTAACACTCCATTCAGCTAGAGAAATTTACAAAAATGGACGTTCTGGGAATTGAACCCAGGACCTTTCGCAGTCAATTAAATGCGAAGTGAATATTATACCCCTAAACTAAACGCCCTAGCGTTGTGTACTCTCAGCCTCACCTTAAGCTCACAATGTTCTCATCTGATCGAAACTGATCTTGGCTGAACACAGATCAGGACAGATACACCCAGAATTCCAGGACCCCCTCATGTCAGAAATTGTGTGTCGATATGATCCCATCTGCGGAAATATGAAATTCAGCTTCATCGGTTGAAACCTCCTACCCCTGTTGGCTAGCTAACTAGATAGTAACTAGTCTACAAACTAGATATTACGTTGGAAACCAAGTAACAATATACCACCTTCAAATAAACCTCAGTACGACTACTAATACGGTGACCAGTTTCGTGCTGACTGGCAGCCCTGGAGTGCGGTCAGCTAAAGTCATCGAAATGCATATTTTGAAACCTCGAGCCGATCGCATTGCCTGCTCACAATAAAATGAATATCAATAAGCAGAGACTGACATTCTCACCAATGCCTTAGTGGCCTTCTGATAATGTACTCTGAATTTAATGAGATGAACCAGGGAGAAGGGAGAAGAGCAGAGCAGAGCAGGAGATCGTGAGGGTGATGGTCAGAGTCAAGACAAACTGGGGCAAAGCGAACTTAATAATTATATAGTTCAGCAAAACCGCCCAGCACGAACATTTCCTGTGACATCACCTGACACGACTCAATGTACTCTGATCTCGGCCTATGGAGGAAGTGCTGCGTTGATCGAGTTGACATGACCGTACATAATATACAAAAATATGGTTTGAATTACTCATGCCAATGTGTTCACACGTCCACAGCATTCAAAGGACATCAACTAGCATGTATTTCAGCTCACACCGGTTCGGCACATATTCCAAGTATCGGACAGCATCAATTTCAGCTCAGATCAGTTTTGATCAGATTACATCAGGAAAGTTGACACAGGATCCGTTTTAGCGCCTGTGCTAGGAGTGATAGGCAGTGGTATGTAGGGCTATATATTCTCTATACCGACTCCTAGCTTCGGTTAGCGAATCCGCCATTGCCTATTCCTACCTAGTGCTACCTAGCACTACGCGGAGTTTAGCACGCGTTGCACGTTTTACTGATGTAGACAATTGCAAGTTCTCACTGGGCCTCAGCCCTGGCATGTACCAGTATCGCTCATAGTTCATATAAATTATTCGGAATCTGAAGGACTAAGCCAAGTTATTAGCTAAGTCCTATATTTTTAACATGTTCACTAACGGAAATTGTAAACATATTTAGAAAGATTAAAGATGACATCTGAGCCAACGTTATTTTCATAGGCTTTCTCCTAGCTACCACAGAGAGTAGAGTGATGGTGATATTTAATTTTACTCATCTTCAAATGAACCTCCTCCCTGTGCCATCGTTCTCATTGTTCACACGCGAGAATTTCTTCGATAGGTTCACCTTCGCCTTCAATTTCAAGGCTCCAATCGCGATAGGAAAAAACAACTTGCTCCGGGGGAACACACGGCGAAACACCTTCGTTTCGCATGTCCGGTGTCCTTTCGATGTTACGTGCTCTGATGAGTCTTTCCATATCAACACACTTTATAATATAACTTCCACACAATAGCTTTTGCATGTTTGGCAGTAGAATTGACCACTACTGCGCCTTGATCCTAAAATTCTCCATAAATATGAATCAGTGTGTTTTCAGCCAAAGCCAATCGAAGGTGGTCGTGATTCTGGCTGCCTGGATAACCCATTCAAGCTCTTGCACCCATTGACCCCATAGAGAGGATTTGCAACGATCCACAATGTTTGGTAGTCATGTCGGCTAATTCCTGCAGTTCTTACAGACTAGTTCCGCCATATTAAACAGATGAATGTTGCAAGCTCGGGGTACTTATGGAATGCCATACGTAGTCCCAAGGGGAGTAATTTAGATTTAATCTGCGTAAATGGTTCAATGTGATCGGTTCCGAGTGGAAGTCTTGAGGGATTCCGGATCATTGCAATGAACATCGAGACTGATAAGACCGGAAGTTTGTTTGAGTATATTGAAAACTAACCTAATATTGAGCCCCGAAAGTGTGAGATGGGTTATTATGGCCTAGGGCAGCTTGGGAGGAATAGGATCCATGGTGAATTACATTCTGGATGGCACAGCCACCGGACGAAGGCTATATGCCTCACATAAGATATCAGATAGTGCGATTCCGGGAGCAATATCAGAAGACAATGTGAGTCCCTCACTTAATACGAGAGATAGATTGAGCACTATGGGTGCCTGCAGCGGGAGACATTGCAGATTCGGCACATGCGGCACACATGAAGCAGGCTCACGGATTAAAAATTCGACCGTTTCCCATTGTGAAGAACACGACAACATTAGATCGAATAGCTTGGGATGATGCTCTTCATAAAAGTTACACTTGATTGTCAACGGACAGTTGTGCGTGCGACCCAGAAAGCGTTGCAACTTCTTCAGCATCTGTGTGGATCGACTGAGGTTGGAGAAATCAATAAGAAACCACAGCATAGGGGTGGATAATGCTATCGTTCTCCATCGTCGGCACACCATGGTAATGATAATCAAGGTCTCATTGAGGGGTGTTGCTCAGGCGTAGCAGAAAACGTAGGTACTGGCAGTGAAGCTAACAAGAAGGTTGCTTCAAGATCGTGCGAAAGGACGATTAGCTGGGTGTGACTATGTGGGTGCTCCGGGTACGTCACGGCAGAGAAGGTACGTTCGATGGTTAACTTTAGCTGGGAGGCGTGTGAGAGAAGTCGAAGACGATGACAGGACGGAGAAGCGGTCTCAAGACAGGACGCGTCGCTGATCACGTGGCAGATGCTCAAACCACCGGTGAATTCGGTGAATTTTCGACGCGCGGGAAAGTTTGAGATAATAGGCGCTCTCTTCTTTTCGTTCGGGGGATTTAACGACGACCGAGGCGGTGTGATATCATACCTCTGCAGTATGTCCAACTCGTATTCCCGTTCCAACCCAACGCATTATGCTAAACTTCGTGATAGACCGACTGCTCTCTCATAGCGCCCAAGGCTTCTTCCTTCGGTTCCAACATGCTATCCATTCCGATTCCGTCCATCCATAACAAATAGTTGCGCGTCCTACATCGCTACCGGCATTCTTAGCACGCGTTTATGCCCTTATTACCTCCTAACTCCCGAGGTAGCAAATATTCGTCTCAGCCATCAACTACGATCCGAGTCTACACTGGTCAAGGGAGATAGGCCTTCGAAGCTTATACATATCTGAGCATCTTTTCCCCCAATGCATCTTGATCTGGGATAAGACTGCCACGTTATTCGCTTCTTATTCAAGAATCACTGAGGAACTGCCAAAGGGCGCTTACTGGATGCAGGGACCTCCGCGAATTCTGCCTCAAACATCGTCTTAGTGCTGTATCGGATGTTACGAACATGAATAATCCGAGTGGGTTGTCATTTATATCCGCCTTCATGATACCTTACGTTGACGATCGCCCATATAGGTACTAGCGTCTGCATGGAATGCCGTTCAACAACCATGACCGGACGGTGCTCAAGCGGCATCGTGGTGGTCATCTCATGGAATCGTGCATTCCAGGTCGTTTTCATGATACAATCTTCCAAATGAGGTCCTTGTTGTCTCGTCGCGGAACTGTATATCCGGCGATCCGCACACCATACCAGTCCTCGCCCACGCAACCAATTAATCCGCCTTGGAACCGAACATATATTGGAACTACTCTGTACTCACTACCGCGTGGATATTACCCTGGAATATCGCTAGTTGGATTCTCAGCGTCTACTGCAGGCTCGTCACCGGGCGCTTACCCTACAAAACAACGATGGTCCATTCTACGTCGACGGTTTCTCTTTTATTGGATTGGCTTTGTCAATGGTGATGTCTTCAGCGGTGACACCATTCTACTGCTTAATACCGTTCTCATCAGAGGGAGACCTACCAGCTAGGGCAACGGCATCTGCGTGACGCGTCGAAGCGTAAACGTCCTTACAATGAGTCTAACTATGGATGATAAGCGTTGACTCTGTGGCTAATCACAACATGGCAATCTTTTTCAATCACGATATGGAACACTGCCGAGTGCGAACCTTCGCAAATGCCAATCTGCCGGTGCCGACCACTTCAATACCACTTACATAATATACCCACAGATGCAAATGGAACATTTTTGGGTTTCGCCTCGAGCTGTAATATAAGAGTGTTTAAGTAAACATGTGTCTGCAGCTATCACAATACACGGAGTCCTCAATCGAGCGTATCATCGCGCCAGGTCTTCAGGTTCTATAGCTTCAGTCACAATGTCACAATAATTCAGCAATCTGAGCAATCCATCTCATCCTCGTTGGTTCACTGTAGCGACTTTCGAGAGAATCACAGAACCGGCTATTCAACCGTAGGAAGCTCAGTCAAATATATATATATTATACGTCCTTTCCTGATCTACAGCCAATTGCCATACCGATAAATTCGTAGCTACACCTTAATGCAGGGATATCATACTACTGCTCAAGAGTCAAAACGTTTGCTGCCTCATATGGTTGAATTCACTGATTTCCGCTTTCCTGAATATGGAATATGAGCACAGCGAAAGATAGTTCTGATGGAATTGGGTGAAGTCTTATTCCTCGACGTGCTATGAGGAATCAGCTCGATAATCTTCTTACAGCCCTTACTTGCTCAAGAACATGCTCGTTAAAACACTCCACCGTCAGGCTCATCTGAGAAGCTGAGATACGCTCAGGAATGTTATGGCCCTGTCTATGTTTAGTCGAGGACGTATTTTTGCTATAAGTAAGACCCTCATACTGTATATCCACGGATTTGTTCTGCAATGGGCATTTTCAGTGATTGCGCCTTCGTTGCAACGGTTTCTGGAGTGACCATGCTCAACGTGCGTATGTTCAAAGGCAATCGTCTTCAGAAACAAAGTAACATCTTCCTGGACAGGTGTTTGTTCAGAGCGCTCTGACTGTTGCTACCACTAACATAGGGAAAGGATCTCCGGTTCAAAGAGGTAGGTCGCTACCATGTCCTAGAATACGAAAAAT